GGGAATGTCGTTTAGGGATTTCGACACGATGCTTAAGGAGCTGCCTTCACTTGACGAGCTCCATAGGCTTTATTCAGACTGATTTTATTTTATTTTATTTTTTTCTAATTATTTCTTGCCGTTTTGTGGTGTTGGTATGATATTTATTTATTTGTTTTGTTCAATTTCTTTTACCCCTTCTCATAGTTAATTTTATTTTATTCTTTAAAATAAAAACCGACAGTTCAATAAATTGTCGGTCGTGAACTAGCATGATGAGATATAGCCGGGCGGGTCTCGGGCCCAGCATTTGAGGCCCGCCAACCCAGACCTTTGGACACGGCTAGGTCTGAAACCACAGTCAATCTTGTTTCAAGGTTCTCGTTCATACTTACCGATTCCGATTTTGAACAATTAAAATTTTACTTTAAAAAGAAATATTTGGTATCAATTCGAAACGAATATAAAACTCGAGGAGTAATATTATAGGTACATAATAGTGTAGATGTGTACATAACACTCACATTAGGTGGGTCCTACTAAAAATAAAAAACTAAGTGGACTTCATTTCATGTAAGTGTTATTCACGCTTCTATGTACATTATTATGCACTTGTAGCAATTTTCAAACTCTAGACTCTAGTTCATAATGATCTTGATATCCCAGAAGCAATCGTTAAAAAAATTAGATTATGAGTATATGAAACCAATGGCCTATTCGACCTTTTGCTATATTTAGTTTTTATAGCATTCAAATTAATCAACGTTTTAAAAGGCCTATAGAATAATGCGTAGTGTTTTGATCATTGTAGTGAATAGTGTAAACACCGTGACGTATTGCCTAATTTTTATGGGAATGAATATATTCATAAATAACAAAACTAATCTTAAGCATTTGAGTAAAATAAAATAAGTTTCATAGAGAATAGTTGAGTCAAATGATAACATTGAAGTGTAAAGTGTTATACATTATCAACAAATATTTAATATTAATGCCATAATGTATCCATTAAACAATAAAAATCATAATTTAGTTTAACATTTAAGCTACCAAATCAGTTGTGTAAGCTATTAATTAATGTAGTTTGAAGCCTTAAATTTGAAAGTAATATCTGTTGGATATTTGGTGTCAAATTACACGGGAATCCTACGAACTGATATGTATTTTCAGTTCTTACAAATAATCTAAAAATAGAAAATTACAATTGAACTGAATAATAAATTACAACTGTAAAACGGAAAGATTTTTAGCCGAGGCGAGTAAAACTCTTTCCGCAA